GCTGACCTCATCACAAAGCCACTCACGGAGTGGCCACTCAGCCCCAGAGCCTGAGCCCCTCACGGCTTTGGTGTCGTCGGGAAGGTGCTGGATGGAGGAAGGGCTTTGGAGGCTAGAGTGGAGGAAGGAGACCCTCCCGTCCCCAGAGTGGCTCTGAAGACCTGGGACAGGCAAGCTGTCTGCCTGGATGGGGTGGGGGCATGAGTCTGCCCCCTCTACTGCCAGCTGCTGCACCAACAACAGCTGCCCGCTCCTCCACCACCAGACTTCACCCAACGTGACTCAGCCTACCCTCCAGGCCACCTCCAGATGTCCCTTGGGGGTCCTAGTGGGTCCAGTAACCTGCAGCCTGAGCTCAGAGGGTGAAATGAGGAGGAACTCCCTGCCTTCTGCCCTGACCCAGCTCAGACACTGTCCAAAGCTGAAGGGCAAGGCCCAAGTCATGCCTCGAGGGACCCTGGCTGCTCGACCCAGGCCCTAGACTCTCCCTGGGGGTCCTCCCTACTGCTCAAACTGGCAGCTCTGGGAGAGAGTTGCTGAACCTGGCACCTACCTCCAGCCCACGGGGGAAGCCAACACTGGGGGCCTGCGCAGTTGTCCCAACCTCATCCAGGCCGGGGACCCATCTCCTAAGGGCCCCTGCCCAGTCTGGTCGGCACCTTAAACCAGGCCTCTCCAAGCTGCCGGTGGCCAGCAGGTGGCACTGTGGCCGTTTGTGCTCACCTGGAACGGGAGGCCCTAGGAGCAGTGTTCCTTCATCCGGGTCAAACACTTGCCCCGCAGCACCCAGCAGGTGCTCAGTCAACAAAGTGAGGGCCGGCCCTCCCTCTTACCTGCAATGCGAATGACAGCCCTCTCGGCGGGGTCCAGCACGCTCCCGTTGCCCCCGGAGCCACCCCTGGTTCGCCGGCCCCGCTGCGTTTTCTCCAGGTTCCAAGGCAACGTGTCCCCGGGGCTCGGGGAGCCGCTACTTCCATTGGAGCCATCCTCGGCCACTGCTCGCGCCTCGGGGCCCTCAGCTGACATGGCCTCCTAGGGAGCGCAAAAGGGGTTAACGTGGCGGAAGGGGGATCACAGGGTGGAGGCGGCCGGCACTGTGCACAAGCGGCCCTCTCCCCACACACACACATCCAGCTGCAAATCGGACTTGTACGCTGACCCCACCCTCATCCTCTGCAGGTTAACTACCAGGTCCTTTTCTCCGTCGTCCCCAAACTCGCTCAAAACCCCATCACCAGGGCACTGCCCCATCCTTTGCACCCTGTCCAACGAGGGCACAGGACAACCATCAAAGGATACTGGCCGCCCCCGACACCACCACCCCCACCCCCGCCCCCAAACGCCACCGTGCAGCCCTTGCATGCCCTGGCCACCGACCACCTCTGCTCTCCACCCTGGCACTGGCATCCTACCTCCAAGCTGTCTCCAGGACCCCCGTCCCCACCCCGCTGCGCCCGTCCCCACCTCTGTCTCCGCAGTGGGGCTCTATAAATAGCAGGAGCCGCGCCGCAGCGTGGGCCGCGGGAGGGCGCCAGGCTGCGGGCTGCAGGAGCTAGAGCAGCAGCGGTGGCCGCCACTCGGAGCCCGCCCGCGCTGCGCTGCGCCGCGCCGCGCTCGCAGCAGCTCGGGCCGTCAGCGTGCGCCCACGCGGGCACACCCAGTCCCCGGAGCGCTGGCGTGCGTGAGTGCGGGGGTGAAAGGGACTTTGTCCCCGCGGGGGTGGGGTGGGGGCACAATGTGGTCTCTGTGCCTCCGCCCTCCGGCTAAGGGCAAGGGCGGGGACCAGAGGCTCCCAGACAGAGGGCACCCCGCACCCTCCTTTCCATACTCCCCCACTTCTCCAGCGCCCCCCACCCCCATCAGCTTTTCCGGCCCACGCCCGTCCAGTTCCGCATTGCCAGAGCGCCGGGAAGGGTGCGGCCCGAGGGCCGGCGGGGTTACCCCTGGGGACCCCGAGGCTGCCCCCCACCCGACCCCGGGCGG